TTCAAGTGCTTAAATACTTTTATATCTACTCCCCCTTTTGTCATCAATAAAAATAATTAAAGTAAAATAGAAAAGGCACTGAAGAAAAATTTTATATTATTAAACCAAAGAACTTTGAATAGACAATGTTTGGGAATATATCGGATTTGGATAAAAGTAATTTAAAATAATATTTGATTTCCCAATTTAAAAAATATTTTGATAAAGGGATTGAAAACCGGTCAGAATTGTTGGGAAACCACTTCTTCAATTCTCAAGATGGTCAAAATAGGTTCTGACAGCTGAGCATTTGAGAGGAATAAGGAAATCAAGGTTGAGGAGATGTGCTTGAAGAATAAGAATATATCTTTATCCAAAGTCCATTGGTGCATAATAACCAACTCATAATTTAGTTCAACACAAACTCTCTATAAATACCTGTCTTCGAAAACCATCAAGGTCACATTTAATTCCATTTATCTCTTTTCATAACAGAAAACATGAGTAAGTCATCCAAGAATTTCAAGGAAAGCTCTACCAAAGAGATTGACAAGGCTGCTAAAAATGCTGAAAGAAGAAAGGTTCAAATAGATAAGCTCGTTAAGATTGAAGATTCGAAGTCTCGACTTGGTACATCTGCATGAGCTTCTTTGGTGAGAAATAAATCAGTCTCCAAGATAAAAAAACTCAATAAGATTCAGGATCTAGATTTTAACTACGATTCAGATGCTAATGAGGACTGGATGAACTACCTCAAACGTCGTGCTTTACATCCTGATGAATTCTGAGAGATAGCCTTTATATTGTATCTTGTTCCTTAAGAGAATGAATCAAGATTTGTAATAATTTCTTATCAATAATAGCACATGTTTTTCCTTTTGCATCTATTTCTTTTTTCACTAGCCTCCATTTGTTGAGCCATCAAGAAGAATGTTACAGAGAAGTGTTCCACCATTTCAACCAATTTTGTGATGTGTGTATGCTAAAAAGAGTAAAAAAAAGATTTTAAAACACATACCTTTAAAAGAAATAATTTTAAGGCGAATCAAAATAAGATTTAATTTATCCAAGAAAATGATTCCCAATTGTAACACAAACATTTCGTTATAAAATAAATGTATGACAAATGTCACACTCCTTTACTCAAACAAACATGATTGGTTAGAACAATTTATATAACTCAAAGATAAGAAGACAAAAAATTCTTAGAAGAATTCTGACTTAGGACCCAACAGAACCATAGAATCTTCTTGATTGGAGAGCTAACTAGTTCACAATCATCTCAGAAATACATAGAAACATTATGAGACATAAAGGAATATGGTGGAACAAAACATATGGTAACAACTTATGAGGATGAGACAAAGTATTATAAATACTTACATAATAAACCACCATTTATTATCCAACAGTTGAGAGACCAAGCGTCATAAAACCTTTCAGATTCATGACACATAAGTGGACAAATGTCAAAAATATTTTTTTCCACTTATATGCTATCAGAGGCAACTAATCAAATTCCGAGTATTAGAGATTGTGTTGCTCATATTTTATTATTCATGAGAAGCTAGTTAGGAGCTTCTGATCACAGTAGCTTATGATCATCATCAGACTCTGATTCTCCATTCAGAAGCAAGCACTAATCTTTAACAAAATGCATGTTCAGATTCTTTTTGATAAAATCAAATCTTTCAATAGTAAGAAACTTGGTAAATATATCAGCCAATTGATGATTTGTATCAATGAATTATATATATATATATATATATATATATATATATATATATATATATATATATATATATATATATATATATATATATATATATATATATATATATATATATATATATATATATATATATATATATATATATATATATATATATATATATATATATATCACTCCCTTCTGAACATAGTCTCTAATAAAATGATATTTTATTTCTATATGGTTGGTTCTAGAATGTTGAATAGGATTCTTTGTCAAATAGATAGCAGTTGTATTATCGCAAAAGATTAGAATATTGCTTGCACTTATCTGATAGTCTTCCAACTGATATTTCATCTAGAGTAGTTGTGTGCAGCAACTTGCAGGTGAGATGTGTTTTGCTTCAGCTGTAGACAAAACAATAGTTTTTTGTCTTTTACTAGCCCAAGATATTAGGTTTTCACCTATGAATTGACAACTTTCACTAGTGGATTTTCTCTTAATTTTATCCCCAACATATTTAGCATTACAGAATCCAACTAGCTTGTAATTTAGGAATTTTTTATAAATCAACCATAGATTGGTTGTTCCATTCAGATACCTAAAGATCCTCTTAATAATTGTTAAGTGAGTCTATATAGGATCTGAATGAAAATTTGCCCACAGATAGACAATGAATAAAATATCTAATCTAGAAGTTGTTAAATAAAGTAGAGAGCTAATTATACCTTTATACAGTTTCTGACAGACCTTGGTGTTACTTTCCTCTTTGCTCAGGTTGCATGTTGGATGCATATGAGTGCTCATGATCTTGCAATCATCAAGCTTGAACTTCTCCAAAATCTTTTTTGTATATTTAAATTGATGAACATAGACTCCCTCTGATTGATTTGAATACCAAGGAAGAACTTCATCTCTTCCATCATACTTATTTCAAATTCAGCCTACATTATCTTTGAAAATTCTTAGCAAAGAAAAGCATTAGTTGAACCAAATATATTATCATCAAACATAAACTTTGACAATTAAGATATCATTCTTAAGTGTCTTTCTGAAGTGTGTAGTGTTTACTTGTCCTTTCTAAAATCCATTTTCTAACAAAAAATTATCCAGTCTTTCATACCAAGCTCTGAGAGCTTGTTTGACTCCATAAAGTGATTTCTTCAATTTGAAAACATAATTTGGGTGAAATGAGTCCTCAAATCCATGTGGCTGTTTGACATACACTTCTTCAAAAATGACTCCATTTAAGAATGCCTCTTAACATCTATTTGGTAAAAAATAATGTCATGATTAATAACATAAGAGAGAAGTAACCTGATTACTTCTATTCTTGCAACTCATGTAAAAGTTTCAGAGAAATCTATATCTTCTTACTGATTGTAGCCTTTAGCTACAAGTTTAGTCTTATTCCTTACCACTTCTCCTTGTTCATTGAACTTGTTTATGAATACTCATTTTGTTCCAATAATTTTCTTATGCAAAGGTTTGAGTACCAAATTCTAGACATCATTTCTTTGAAACCGATTCAACTCTTCTTGAATAGCCATAATCCAACCATCATCAAAAAGTGCTTTGTTAACATTAGTAGATTCAGTCATGGAAAGTATTCCTAACATTGAATGCTCTTTTCTGAAAATAAACCTTGTCTTTCTAGGACTATTTTTGTTTCCAAGAGTTAACTCTTCTAGATGAGAAGACTCGTACTTGAAGGTTTTTGAAGGACATAAATTAGTGCATTGCCTTTAATTTTCATCTTATTTCTTAAAAATATATATAAAATAATTAAATTTAGGGTCATTTTGGTTCATTTTTTAAATGATAACATATTTTTGTTGTAAAAAAATTATAAAGATTTCACCTAAAATATGTTTAAATAAAATACTAATTTAAGTAGTTTGTTTTATAAAATAATAATTTAAATATTTAATCCTTTTGTTATGATTTTTATTAAATACTAAAATTTTTAAAAATTATTTAAATTTAACACGATTTTGAATAACTTTTTCTAAATAATAATTTTTTAATTTATTTTAAAAATTTTATATAATTTTAACTATATTATAATCTTTAATAATATATATTTATATTACTAAATGTGAAAGTTATTTTTTTAATTTATAAAAATAAGTTTAAAATAACTTCGATGATTTTGAATTTTTTTTTTTCATAAAATTTATTTTAAAACAATAATTTCTTAAAATGTATATCAAACATACCCTTGATGAAATTAATTTCATCGGTTAATAGTGTTTTCAAGAAAATTTAAGTTAAAGTTTAACATGTATTATCCATAGATTTATTTAAATACTAACGTTTAGATGAGCATTCGTGTGTCTAATTATATGTTTTTGAATGTGAATCGATGAAAATATAAGTAATATTTTTTATCTAAATATAATTTTTTTTAAATATAATATGTAAAATTAATAGTAGGAAGTGATGTGAAAGTTAATAATAGTGATTTTAATAGAAATTATTAAGTAAATTATATAATAAAGTAAGAATAAAAATGATAAAAAAAAATAAGTTATATCAAAATATATTCCTTTTATAATATATATAAATATTTATATATTTTTATAGATTATAGAAATAATTTAAATTTTTAAATCTTAAACTTATTTAGCGATTATTCTATGTATGAATTTTAAAGTTTGTTAAGAAATGTGATTGAATTTAACCGATAGTAGAAATGATAGTAGGTGGTCCACTGAATTTTAAAAGAGACTTCAATATCGTGTTAAGAAATGTGATTGAATCTAACTTAATTCTACAAAATTTATTAGTAGAGTGGTGACTATTCTCACTTATAAACACATATTCAAGTTATATATTATTCGATGTGAAGTTCTTAACAAAATTTTTATAAATTAAATTTTTATTCAAAATGATACATTTTATAAAGAAATATTCAAATCACATATTTTATTATTATTATTATTATTTGAGGTAAGATTTTGACCATTATAAAAAACTACTCTACAATTAATTATGCAATTAATGCAATCTTTTTACAATAATTCATGACTTTTTATTTATTGAAATTTGATTTTTTTTATCTTTATAAAATTATAATGTTTTTTGTAAAGCATATGAATAGAGAATTTTTATTAATTTTATTTAAAAATTAAATAAAAAACAGATAAAGACTGATATGAAGAAGACTAGCCAACATTTATTTATACTTATTTACACTTAATTTTTTTTTTTTTGTAAATGCATATTTATATTATTAAGTAGGAGTAATTGTAAGAATATAAAAAATTGCTGATTCTGTATAGAGAAGAAGAGTACTGAATCAAGCGGAATGGATCAGATTTTGGGCAAGGTTGGCTCTTACTGGTTCAGTCGGAAAGCCAACAAGGAACTCAACTCCGTCGGTAATGATTTCAGTGTACGTATTTCTTCAAACCCTAAAACCTCTTTTATAGTTATTTACTTTTCTCTTTCGTTTGTTTCTTCAATTCTATGCAAATGCAATATCTTGCTTAATCTATGATTCTTCGTTTCCGTTAGAGAATTTCAAGTATAATTGTTGATTATTTATCCCCTTTTCGGATTCAGATAGTGACTGTAGAAAGATCTCAGATATCCGATTTTAATCGGTTCAATTTGACCATAAATAACTTAATGTGAAGATTTAGTTTATTAAGAAATTTTGTAAAATTCTGTTTATTAAGAAAAATCGTAGTTTGTTAATGTGTGATAAAGATGACTTTGGTTGGGAATGGGAGGGGGAAGATGTAACTAGTTGTGCTAGGAGTAGGAGCTTTGTGCTTCATGTGAATTTGGTGGAACTGACATTGCACCCGATTTTAACTTCGGTTTTTAATTGATGTGCAAGATTGATAGGCTTAACATGCAGAGTCGCCTTAATGTATTGTAATTTTGCATGAATTCGAGAAAGATTTGTGTATAAATAACAGTAGAGAGCTATGAAGCACTGACTCCGACACGGACACCACGACACAGACACGGACACTCCAACACCGATATTTCAAAAACCTAGGACATTGACACCGCTATATATGTCATAGTATTTGAGTTTCATTTATTCATGTAATATCAAAAGAGTTAAAAATATTATAATCAAAACTAATGTCTTTAATTCTTCATTGATAACATTGCTTCATTATATGTTTAACCCTTTTAGTTGTGCATGAAATTTGTCTAGAAAATGTATAAAGTGCGTTGAGATAATGGAAAACAAATATTTTCTTGAAGAAAATTTGTCTGAATTTTCGGACACGTGTTGTATGAATGTCATATGGGTATCAGACACCGATTCAAAATGTGTTGAAGCAAATAAAAAAAATTAATTTTTGGGGGATTCTTGTCTGACTTTTCCGACACTTGTTTGACTTTTTTGACACGTGCGACACCTCTATTTCTAGAGGTGTCCGTGCTTCATAAGAGAGGGGTTGATAGAGGGTATAATAGTAATAGTTTATTTATATTTTTATATATTAGTTGTGATTTTAAATTCTAATATTTCTATAATGTTCTTATACTTATGAAAAATATATTGAATGTATAATGTATGAAAAATGGTCCATACTTGTCTATTGAATGTATAATGTATGAAAAATGGTCCATACTTTATATCTTTTTTTTGCTTCTGTTGTAGGATAGTGGAGTTTTAAATTGTAAATGCATACGACTAAAAGTGTTTAAGCAGTGCCGAGATTGTGCATCATTAATAAATTTTGAATGCATAATAACATGTAGTGCTGGTGAATATAATATAGGAAGCCTAATGATTAATGTGAGACTTTGGCATTGAGCATTGAGCAACGGATTATTGTTTAATAAGTAGATTTCATTGCTTGATTGATGTTTATATTAACACCTTTCTATTGGTTTTTATTAGTCACTGTCAAGCAGCATTGAAGGAGGAACCAAATGGTTTGTCAACAAATTAAAAGGTTTGTATCTCTAATATTTCAATGTGTTGCTTAATCAGATTACTTTGTTTTGACACCGTATTAAAAAATCATACTTATTAAATAAAGGTTTACCCTCTATCAGGCTTATTTTTCGTTCATTAAGGTCCCGTTTGATAAACAAGTCAGTCGAACAATTAAAACATAAGTGCTTGTATATTAGTTATTTATATAATAAAAGATAAAATAAAGAGAAGTTGTTTTCATATAAGCTTTAAGTCATTTTTATAAGATTTTTTGGATATATTGCTCAATTGCTTATAGCATAAAACACTTTCATATAAATGTTTATGTATAAGCTACTTTTATAACAAAGGATAAAATAAAATAAAATAAAACTGTTTTAAGCTGTAAGTTGCTTTCATAAGTTATTATGGAAAGCTTATGGCAATAAGCTACAATATGAACATCTCCATAAGTTTTTCATAGGCTCTTTCAAATAGCTTCACAAAATGCTTATGTCAGTAGATAAGTCTTAGTAGGTTAATCCAAACAAGATCTTAAGGAAATAAACTGAAAACAAGTTATGGACTTGTTATAAGTTGTTTCCACAAACCCTCTCAAACAGTGTTTAAACTCAATGCTGCTTGACAGTGACTAATAAACTCAATAAGTCAATACGAAACACCATAATATTACACTCTAACATTGTAAAAAAAATAACTCTGCAGGAAAGATGCAAAAGCCGTTAACGGAGCTGCTAAAGGAGTATGATCTACCAATAGGAATCTTCCCGCGCGATGCAACAAACTATGAATTCAACGAAGAAACAAGAAAGCTTATTGTTTACATTCCTCAAGTGTGTGAAGTAGGCTACAGAGATTCATCGGTCTTGCGTTTCACTACCAGCGTGTCTGGTTACCTGGAGAAAGGTAAGCTAACAGAGATAGAGGGCATGAAGACCAAAGTGTTGGTGTGGGTGAAAGTTACCGCCATTTCATCTGAGGGACCAAAGCTTTATTTCACTGCTGGCATGAAGAAAACAAGGAAAAGGGAAGCATATGAGGTTTCTAGAGATGGTGTAATCATAGATAAATTCTGAAATTCTGATGTATTAGCATTGATTGATATGGTTTTGTTAATAGTTAGACAGTATAATGTATGTTCTTTCTTGTGGAAGATTTTATTTGATATTGAATGCTGTGATATGGTTGAAATTGAACCTCTATTTGGTTATGAGAAAGTTGTTTCAGTTTTTTCTGTTTGGGTGTTCCATGCGTTTGTTGTCTTTCCTTTTGATACACAGGAACACGGCAGGCATTGATTTCCAATGGAAATGGAAAAGTGGTAAAAAGTTTGCACCAGCCGGGAATCGAACCCGGGTCTGTACCGTGGCAGGGTACTATTCTACCACTAGACCACTGGTGCTGTCGTTGGAACCAATATTCTCTTATTTTATTAAAACAATTTATTCCGTACACGTTAACTTATGTTGTTTTTGCCTTCAACTTTTTTAATCTTTATTTATTCTCTTTAAAAAGTATTAGGACAAGAGGATAATGTCTAGATTCAAATAGCAAACATTGTGCACTATTAGAGATGAGAATGGATAGGGTTTGAGTAGGGTATCATAGTACTTATTTTTATATTTGTGATTTGAAAAAATTTCCGTACTCAAGTTCATACCCGATTGGGTGGTGAAGTTAGCATTCGTACCATGTCCTAGGAGTATGTAAGTATCCGTACCCGTTATCTGCATTCTTATTTAAAATAAATACATCAATTATAAAATATCATATTATTTTAAGTTTTTAAAAACTTCAAAAAATTTTAAAAAAATTATTGTTAAAATAAACACATTTATATTAAATACATAATTGTTTAACATTAATATACTTTTTAAAATTGATAGACATATATTTTTATTTAATAATATAAATTAAAATTCATAAATATATCATGCGGATATGAGGTATGATGAGTATTGAGGTATCCATATCCGCGTACATATCCGTTTATTTTTGTAGATAATTACCTAAATTCGTACTCATATCTAATTTTATGAATTTTTATCCTTTTATTAACGAATTTTTATGCTATTTATTATAGCTAATTTTGCGGATATTTATTAGAAATGAGTTAATTTATCATCCCTGTAGATTATGAAAGGATTTTGAATTCTTTGAAGACTGCAAATTAATACGTTAAAGTAGAATGATTTTGTAATGAAGGAATCTCTATATTACTCTCTTAAATGAAAATAGTACAAGGAAGGTGATCTGGCCTGATCAGAAGGGGATCACTGGCTGGCCACACTCTGCTGGACTGCTGCCTGTTCACCGGTGATGAGGAGGAGGAAGGGGTGTACCTGCAAGACACTCCGATGTCAAAGTAAGTATATGGACAGAGTGATCACAAGTACAGAAAATGGGGTAAGAAGTGAATTACCTGACCCTCTTGTGAAAGAGGGATTTATAGAGAGACCCCAACGTTAGGCCAACGGTCACTTGCGTTAGGCTGGATTGCCAGGCCCAACCCAGGTGACTGCTAGGGCTTACGTGGCGTAGTGAAGACCAGAACGTGGTCCTCGCCCTAGTTCAACTGTCCCGTGATCTCCGGAAAGTGGGTTTGACCTGCTCTTTTGGAGGTGGGAAGTTGGTTGGTGACGTGTCCCCGCGGAGGAGAGCACGTGGAGCAAAAGGGGATATCAAAGGTGTTGGAAAACTAGAGTGCCCTGGAGTTCCTAACCTAACCAATGTGCTGCTAGTAAAAGGACTAACTGCCAACTTGATCAGTATCAGTCAGCTCTGTGATCAAGGACTAAGTGTGAAGTTCTATAAAGGAGAATGTATGGTCACAAATGGTGCAAATGAAGAAGTGATGAAGGGGCTTAGATCCAAGGACAAATGTTATTTATGGGAGACAAAGGACACTAGTAAATCCACAATATGCTCTGCGGAAAGAGAAGAAAAGGAAGTAAAATTGTGGCATTAAAAGCTTGGGCATCTTCATTTAAGGGGAATGAAGAAGATCATCTCCAAGGAGGTGGTAAGAGGAATACCTAAACTGACTATTGATGAAGTAAAAATCTGTGGGGAATGTCAAGTGGGAAAACAGACCAAGACATCCCATCCAAGGGTTGGACATCTAACTACATCTAGAGTTCTAGAACTACTGCACATGGACCTGATGGGACCAATGCAGGTAGAAAACCTTGGTGGAAAAAGGTATGCATATGTGGTGGTTGATGATTACTCTAGATTCACCTGGATAAATTTCATCAAAGAAAAATTTGATGTGTTTGAAGTCTTCAAAGAACTGTGCATCAAACTCCAAAGAGAAAAGGAAAGTGTTGTTATCAGGATCAAAAATGATCATGGAAAGGAGTTTGAAAACTCCAAGTTTGCTGAGTTCTATGCAACTGAAGGCATAAGCCAAAAAATTTCCTCTCCTATCACTCCTCAACAAAATGGAGTAGTAGAAAGGAAAAACAGAACTATTCAGGAATCAGCTAGAGCCATGATTCATGCAAAGAAGCTGCCTATGCACTTCTGGGCTGAAGCAATGAACACAACATGCTATGTTCACAACAGGGTTACCCTGAGAAAGGGAACATCTTCCATTCTGTATGAACTGTGGAAAGGAAGGAAACCAACTGTGAAGTATTTTCATGTGTTTGGAAGCAAGTGCTACATCCTGACAGATCGTGAACAAAGAAGGAAAATGGATGCCAAAAGTGATGAAGGAATATTCTTGGGATACTCCACTAATAGCAGAGCTTACAGAGTATATAACTCCAGAACAAAAGTATTAATAGAATCCATTAATGTTGTCATTGATGATCAAATTGAAGAAATCAATGTCATAGAGGATGTTGGAACATTGCTTGAGACTCCATCTGAGGAGACTGAAGACACCCAAACTACAAGTCCAAATTCTGAACCAGAAACAGGAAACAAATAACCCTCTATTAGAATTCTGAAAGATCATCCCAAAGATCTCATAATTGGAGACCTCAACAGTGGAGTAAGGACTAGAGCAAGAGAAGTCATCTCAAATTTGTGCTTTGTGTCCAAGGTTGAACCCAAAAATGTAAAGGAAGCTCTCTCTGATGAATACTGGATCAAGGCTATGCAAGATGAGTTGGAACAGTTTAAAAGAAATGAAGTATGGGAACTAGTGCCAAGACCTGAAGGAACAAATATCATTGGAACCAAATGGGTTTACAAGAACAAGTCAGATGAAGAAGGAATTATAGTCAGAAACAAAGCTAGACTGGTGGCACAGGGGTATACTCAAGTAGAAGGAATTAATTTTGATGAAACTTTTGCATCAGTTGCAAGACTTGAGTCAATCAGGATGATGTTGGGAATTGCCTGCATCCTAAAATTTAAACTCTTTCAGATGGATGTGAAAAGTGCCTTTCTGAATGGATATCTAATTGAGGAAGTATATGTGGCACAACCCAAGGGATTTGAGGATCCTAACTTAACAGACCATGTATACAAGCTAAGGAAGGCACTTTATGGATTAAAACAGGCCCCTAGAGCATGGTGAAGCAATTTGTTAATCACATGCAGTCTGAGTTTGAAATGAGTATGTGTGGAGAATTAACCTATTTTCTTGGGCTACAGGTCAAGCAAATGGATGATTCCATATTCATCTCCCAAAGTAAATACACCAAAAATATAGTCAAGAAGTTTGGGATGGACAATGCAAGTCACAAAAGAACACCTGCCCCCACTCATCTAAAGTTATCCAGAGATGAAAATGGTACTAGTGTTGATCAAAGTCTATACAGAAGCATGATTGGAAGCCTGCTGTATCTAACAGCCAGCAGACCAGACATTGCTTTTGCTGCTGGTGTATGTGCTAGGTATCAAGCAGATCCTAAAGTGAGTCACATGAATCAAGTGAAAAGGATTCTCAAATATGTGAATGGAATCTGTGACTATGGCATACTCTACTCTCATGGGTGTGATCCTACCTTGTCTGGCTATTATGATGCTGATTGGGCTGGCAGTGCTGATGATAGAAAAAGCACATCCGGTGGATGCTTCTTAGGAAACAACCTAATATCTTGGTTTAGCAAGAAGCAAAATTGCGTCTCACTATCCACTGCTGAAGCTGAATACATAGCAGCTGGTAGCAGCTGTTCTCAGCTGGTCTGGATGAAGCTAATGTGAACTGAATACAATGTCACTCAGGATGTCATGACATTGTACTGTGATAATCTTAGTGCTATTAACATTTCCAAAAATCCAATCCAACACAACAGAACGAAGTACATTGATATAAGACATCACTTTATTAGAGATCTTGTGGAAGACAAAGTGATTTCCTTGGAGCATGTGTCCACTGAACTATAGCTAGCTGACATCTTTACCAAGGCTCTAGATGCTGCCCAGTTTGAAAATCTTAGAGGAAAGTTAGGTATTTACATGTATGAGGATGCATAGCAATTAATGACACGTGAGAATTTTACAACATCAATGCAGTCCAAGTCATTGACCAATAAAGCTCTCCATTCCACACAAACGTGTCACTCCGCCCCCATTACCTTCCCACATCTCTCTCAGACCTTCATTCTTGACAAAAACATGTCTTCTCATCATGAAGGATCTTACTCTGAGTCCCCTCCCAAATCCTCCAAAGATACTCCTCCCTCCGCTGAAAAGCCAAAGAGCAAGTACCCTCCTCCCACTGAAGAAAATCTTAGGCGTATGCAAAACAGAGAAGGCTCTGCATACGTGGCCAAAACCATAGGGGAAATTGCTGACGATATCATCAAGAGAGGACTTCCTATTAATGGCTTCACCATTCCCCTGGCTCGCAGGGATCCACCTTACGCCTCTGAATTTCCAAAGGAAGACTCGTATGATGGAACCAGGACATCTCTCTATCAGATTTGGATGACAGTGACTCCAGTTCTTCCTCTGATGAAGAAGATTGAGAAAAGAATATGTGTCGCAGACTGTTGGTGAAGTGATAAAGGGTGCTGCTGTTGTTTCTTTCCAATTTGAATTTTTTTATATAACCTGAATTTGTGATGCTCTTCAAAGAGAAGTTTTGCTGTAATATAACCCCTAATAATTGTAATGT